AACATAGACTGAATCTTGAGTAAAACTTTTAAATAATTGCTTTTAAATAATCTTTTATTTACTTCTTGATCCACGTATTGTAAGAGATATGTCCATCCTGTAAAGTCAGATGGATCTTCATTAACGGCTTTCCAATATTTTTCTAGTTCAGGTAATGTTTTCTTTTTTGGCGATGCTGGCTTGATTTCTTGCTTATCTCCCGCTTCTGTATCGCTCGATAAGGCAACCTTTTTTGCCGGTGCCTCGTCATTGTTTTCAGATGTCGGAGAACTGGGATCGTATTCTCCTTCCGCATTTAATTTACGTTTAGCTAAAAATATAAAAGAGGAACATGTAAGAAAATTTCTAGACTGCCATATTTTATGGTACACTGTTAAATCTAAAGTGTCAAATTTAACTTGACGTGAGTCGCCACTGTTCTTACAATATATTTTATACCAAAATAATGGTTATATTTGACATTATATAGTATCAAATTTAATTGTTTTGATAAAAAAATTAACGATATACTTAATAGGAAGTGGCGACTCACATTAGATTAAATTTGACATTACATTTAACAGTGTAAGGGCGCGTTCATACAGAAAAGAAGAAAGCAAAATAGTGGTAGTTAATCAGAATTCGCGCTGATAGTAAACAGTAAAAAAAAAAAAATCGAAATTGTCGACTATCAGCGCGAAGTTCTAATTGGCTGCTGCTTTTCTGCTTTCTGTTAAGATGGAAAGATGAAATGTACTAACTTCCGCCTTCTGCTTTAGTTTTCTTTTCCAATGTTTTTATTGACTTCGCTCCATGCTTTCTCTTCTTATCGCTGTCTGGCGGCAATTCATCTTCAGACACAGATTCAGTTTCGCCCAAGTCTGCTGCACCAGCAACCGGCAGTTCTTCGTCAGAAACGGCTTCAGTCTCTGGTTCCTATGTATTTAAAATTATTTATGTTATCAATCTATGAATTAATTATTATAGAAAGTATTATATAAAACAATAATAAACGATTTATATAAAATCCATTCAGCTGAACATCTTTTCTTCTTTTTTTCTCCAATGTGAACGGTACAAATTCAGCTGAAAAAACTGATCATATATAAAAAAATGTAAATGGAACGCTTCTGACCTTGGCTGCAGCTTCAGTCGGCAACTCGTCCTCTGACACAGCCTCTGTATCAGGTCCAATTTTCTTTGTATCATCTTCAGTTATGTACTCTTGAATTTCTTCAGTTTCTTCGTTTTCTTCGTTTTCAACTGCAGTTATTTCTATACGCGGTAGAGAATCACTTTGTGACACTTCCATTTCGGGTTCTTCTATCTTATCCATCACTGTTTCCACTGCTTCTATAGTTTCCACTGTTTCTACTGTTTCCACATCTTCCGATATTTCTTGCTCGTCAATTTCCATAACTTGGATCCTAGTACCAGTATGCATAGACATGTTCTCTGAACCATCTATCTCCTCTGCCTCTAGAATCTCTTGCGTCATTGTGTTGCCATCTTCATTGATAACTTCTTGAAAATCTATCAATACACGTTGTTGATTCGAGTCATCATTACTGTCTTGACCTTCCATTTCAACATCTTGACATTCCAACTGGACGTCTTGACCTTCCACTTCGATGTCTCCACGTTCACCCAATATCTCTACTTTATCCATACTACTTTCTTCCATAATTATGCCCTCTGATCTTATATTGGAATGCTCCTAAATGAAATAAGTTTTATGAAATATAGTATCATAAAGTGATAAAAAAGTAATGTAATTTTTAGAAACTTGAATATCAATAAAAATGAGAAAAAATATTGCATAAATTATTTACTATTTCTTCAACATCTTGTTCCATTTCTTCATTTTGATCCATATTCATTTCTTGTATATTAGCATCTTCGGAATCCTCCAATTGCAAATGCAACGTGGAAGAATCTTCGTCGCTACGTTGTTCCACAATAACGTCTGTCACACGTTGAACTCCGTTCTCAGGCATACTTTCTATCACCTCCTCTTCCAACATAGATGTAGTCTCTTCCTGCAATGACAATTAGTTGTTTACTATTTTCTTTTAATATTAATTTTCACAAACAAGTTATTCAAATAGATCATATTTATATTGTAGACATAAAATATTGAAAGTTACATTATATGTTCAATCGTTCAATATAGTTATTTAAGTTTATTTATAGTTATTTAAGTCAAATAAACATTACATTATTATTGTTCTTCTAATGAAATATATATATATATATATATTGGATTAAATGACTTATCCATTCTTCTATAGCTTCAAACATTTACATCAATAGAAAATAAACAGAAAGCTACACTGATGCTCAGCTACTTTGCTTCAATTTTATTGCCAGATGATGAAAATAATATTATTTACTGATGATATTAATCCATATCAGTGCAATCGATTACAAAAGGTTTGACTCTTACCTCAATTTCTTCAATCTCATGGACCTTTTTGGGAAAGCGCGTTGCTCGGGCGAGAAGCTTCTTCACAGGTGGTTTCTTAGCTACTGTTGTTTTTCGGGCCCGACCCGATCTAGTGCGTCTCACTGAAAAAAATTACAACGAAATATTTACTAATGCTCCAGGTGTATAAGACGCCGTCTCGAAATGGCGGTTTCATGGGTTGGGCGGCCGCGCCGGGCGGCACGTCCTTGGAGACAAACAGCTCCTCATCTCCAATGACCTGATGATCGATCACGTATCTCAAAGCTTCTCTCTTTACCTGGTTCGGCCAAAGCGACCTCGGCTTCGTCACCACTCGCTGAGGACATCGTGCTTTCGCTGCAATTTTCGGAATGTGTGAATCGCAGAACCTCACAGTTACTCAGACAGAATTCAGATGGAAAATGGCGACGCTGGCGACGCAATATTTCCGAAACAGGTTTACCAATAACAGAGAAAAACCTGAGAGAGGCTATGTCTTTTGCTTGTCGCCTGTACATTAGCGCCAGTACGTACATTTTCGATTTAGGAACTACATAGTTACGTATTAGCGATAAAATATCGTAAATAAATGTAATGAGTCTGTACTAAATCATGTTTTAAAAAATATTCATTTTTTTAAAGTATAATATAAATTATAATGTCTTTATCTCTTCTTCTTCCTAATTAAAATAAATTTTAATTAAAATAGAAAATTGTAAGTTGTTTTTTTTAATAGTCATCATCTGCAATAAATAACGACTAAATACACGTTAACATAAAGCACGATCTGAATATGTACGAGATTTTCCGGAAATAGAGTAACACACGCTCTCAAATTCCGAAACAGACTAAGAGTTTCTACGCGTAGCATTTATATACCTTATTGAAAAGCTAACGGTGATCCAATGAGCGCTCGGATATAGCGGCCACAGCGAGGCCGGCGCTTATTGGCTAGCTTGAGAGTGGTGGGGTTCGAGGTTTATCGGCTCCTATAAATAACGCGTAATTCGTACTCTCCCGCTTTTGCGATTCGACCAGGGGACGGAGTTACGTCCCGTAATATTACGTTGAAATAGTTCGCACTTCGCATTCCTGGCTTCGAGTCAATTATGGATCTTTCCTGCGAAAGAAGTATCCTGATCCGAATCCTGATTTCCAGAAATCCTAATTCCTGCAGAGAATAAAACGACGGCTCGAAAGGATCGTTTGAATTATATATTAACAAGGTAACTAATGAATTATTAATATTTTCACGCGACACGAGAAATGTTAAAATCCGATCACTTTTAGTTCTCAAACAGTTTAAAATATCTTATGTATTAATAAAATATTATAATGTTATTAATGTTATTAATATCGCTATGTTTTCAGGGGCGTGAAATTTCTAACAATTTAATGCGACACGAAATATAATTAACTTTGTATTTATTTCTTATATCGCGTAATATAGATCTAGTAGCACATTGATTGTTCGGCGATTTTTTGCGCGAAAAACGACGCCGCTTCATTAACTTGATGAGATTGCGGCGGACACTAGACGAATGAGACGAGTGATATGACAACGTGTCTCGTCCGTCGATCTCCGCCGCGATCTCATTAAAATGGCGAAGCGTTGTTTTTTGCGCGCTGTCAATTTCATGCATCGTCAAAGTTAACGCGGCGTACTACTTTTGTGAACGTATTGCGAAAAATACTTTCGGCGTGTCGTTTAATTGATAAAAAAGCTTATATTATTATTGTACTTTTCATTTGCAATATGAGCACCAATTTGGTGCTCATATATTACTAATAATTAACTTAAAACGCATATCTCAATATTTGTCCGACTGAAGGTGTATTATGCGAATAATTGGCAAAGCAACTTATCACAAATGTCGCGAATATATAGTTATAATATCAATACGCCTGTTCTGGATATGATCCTGAACACAAAAAACATATAAACACAAAGTTAAGAGCAGAACGCGTCGTAATGTCGTCCGCGTCGCTTTTGGTACGTGAAGTTGTTCGTGGTCCGTGCCGAAAACGAAACTTTCTCGCTATCCTAACGCGTTCATATTTCATTTACAGGACGCGACAGCTTGGGACAGATTGGTTCCGGATGAGATGGCGTCTTTACTGACTTAATAGATAAGTGAAACTTGCATTTATTTAGTAACTTTTTTAATTCTTTCACTGAAATATTGCATAATAGATATCGTGCGCTGATAGTTCGATCGAACATGCATTTCGCAGTACTTGTTCGATTGAAAACCAAAATATGTAGCATCGCCGCGGCGATGTCGTCGCATCGCTTTTGCTGAAATTGATCGCGTAGAGAATGAGTCTCTTTATCATCTTATATTAAATGCAATTCAATTCAAAGCGTTTTATTTATGAAATATCGCGGATATTAAATGAGTAATTGATATGCTTTGATTTTTCCATTATCATATAAATATGATTAAATACACGTTAAATTAATTAATATCGAGACTATTGAATAAAATATGATAAAAACACACAATTATTATTCTAGTAAATTATAATCATAGTTAATTGTAATTAATAATTTATTTGTTTTTGCAAACAGATTTGCACGAAGAAATAACAATACACAAAAGAATAAGTGAAATAAAAGCCGCAATGACAGGGATGACGGCGCAAAGAATCGTGAGGTGGGCATTTCATAATTAATTAATTTTATTATTTAATATTGATGAAAGTAATTATTTATATGTAATACAGCATTTTAGATTTATGGAATTGCGTACTGCATATGTATGTAATATAAATAAATAAGACATCAAATAAAGTATTTTATATTATTTTTTAAGATTTTTTAAATATTTAGTAAAATATTTATAATTGTGAACAAATATATATAAATATTTCAAAATATTTAAGATATTTATAATTAATATAAAATTCATTTTTCAACTAAATTTTATATCAAAAAGATCAATTTCAAATCACAACTAAAATTACTTGTATACTTGTATACATAAACTTGATTAATAAAATTGTTCTTCAATATTTATTATATTTTAGATATTATTTTTATTTGAATATATTTATATTACAAATTAGTGTTGTAAGAAGATACTACAATTTCGCTATTGCATATCGTATGAGTGCAATCTAATAAGAGGATTCGTTAACTTGTGAAAGGAGGTAAAGAAAGAAATTTAAAAATCTGAAAGAAGGAGGAAACATAGGAAAGGCACTAGTTACCGGTAGAGCAACTTTATGGAAAGCTTTATTGTTTACTTATAATAAAATTAGCCCTTCCTTCTCATTTATTCGGATTATTTTATTTCAATTTAAAAATAATAATTAGAGAAAACAATTAATCTGAAATATTGAAAAAGTTCATTTTCATGAAGATATATTTTTTGAACAATGAACAACTATTTCAATATTTGATTGAAAAATAAAAAATTCTGTTGGCATAAAAAATATCTTATAAATCATTGATTATTTTGAGCGTTATTTTAATTTATAATTTATCCTTATATGTTACAGAATCATCATAGTTATGGCTGATAACACTATTAGTACGCATTGGTCGGTGAGTGATAAAATATTTTATTAATGAGGTAATGAATCTTGAAATTGTGTCAGATATGTATTTATATATTTTATAGTTGTTAGACATTGTTACAATCATATCACACGAGTGAATATCGAATATAACTTCATAGATCCATTGCCTTAAAATGAAAAAATTATAAAACATTGTGACAAATATTTAATCTTGGATTCCTTTTTATTATTTGTGATTTTAATACGGAAAAAATTTGCGTTTCAAAAATTTTCCTGAAATATCTAAAAATTTAGATAGATACAGATTTGAAAATAATTATGTTGTATCATCAAAATAATTATATAGAAAATTTAAATATAATACAGACTGTAAAAAAAGCAAAGCTATACAAAATTTTGATATTTTAGAAACCAGCTCGGGCGTCCTTTTATTTATTTAACTTAATTTTTAGAATATCTGATTAATTTTTAAATATTTCATCAAAATCATTCTTTCTGTGTACTATTAAGCCTAAAATTATACACCTCTGTACGAAAATAGATAAAAAAATAGAAAATAAAATTTATTAATGTTTATTCAATAAAAATAATTTTAATAAAATGAAGATTCGAAATTAAATTTTATTGTAGATTTTATTATAGATAACTATTATTTATTTGTATATTAAAAATATTTAGTATATTA